TTTAAAGCGTCGTTACCTCATAAGTAGCTGTACAGTTTCCCCCACGTATTCCTTCACCGTAAAAACAAGTGAACATAGGAAGAAAACTCCGTGGGAACTCCGGTTCGATGTTCTATTACTAGGTAGTTAATTTCCAAATTAGACTTTGGAGCTGTGGGCACAAGTTGGCCATTAAAAGAAGTGACGAAGAGTTTCTTGCCAGTTCGGCCTGGATTTGTGGACTGGCTAAAAGTAAATTTAGAGACTCTTTTTACATTTATAAGTATACAAATTCTTTATGAAAATGTTTTGATTTGATTTATAAATAGTCAAATCTATGCTACTAAGATCCGTGAATTTATAAACCTCGTCTCAAAGTTCTATCCCATAAATAGCAATAGGTAACTAGATATATCCAATGTAGGTTCAAAACTGGAAGTAGGGAGCTGGGAGCCGACTCCCGTCAGGTCACCGACCGGACCTGCAACCGTTTAGGTCAAAGCCGTGATTATTAGATATTTCGATATCAGTTTTGGATACAAACAATTATCTGATAGAAATGCACGATCTGTAACGGTTTTTCAACCTTATTTGAATTTTTAGTTTATGACTGATCCCACGCGTTTGTTTAAATATAGCAGTAATCCAATTTAGATTTCCTTAAATATTAAAATCCTATAACGGTAACTACTTAACTAACCAAATTTTTTTGATGTTATTTCAAGGAGGCGTAGTCAAGATGTCTTAACACTATGTGTGTGTATGTAGAAAGTCGAAAACTAAATTTGTATGAAAATTTGTCGACAAGAACCGTCATTTTCTCGTCAATCATCAGGATTATATCTGTATTTCATTATTATTTTTAGAACAAGTACGTTACAACTATTATATACCTATTGACGAATTTTTTTTCCCGCCATCGACCGCAGCAGCTCCAGGGTTTGTTTTTTATAAGCTATAACGACAGACCAATGTTGTAAATTTTTCGAAATACAGGAACAAGAAAGTATAATTTGTTCCATAATCAATAAATACTTTTTGATTTCGTGAAACATTGAAGTAAATATTCTTTTACGAAATTTGTTTAATTCGTTAGTCGTGTGCATGGGTTCATCACTTCAAGATCAGCCCTGCGATTCTGTAACTCACTTTTCGTCACACTCAAATCATAAAATGACTGCTTCACGACTGATTTCAGAGCGACCGCCGATTCGAAAACCGCTGTGTGAGTTCGAAAAGTGAGTTACAGAATCGCAGGGCAGGTGAGTCTTCTGCCCGTTTGCTCTCTGCTCTATAAAAAAAATACATTATACAATGGTTAATACAAACTACATAAACATGTATAAAACGTGTGCGCATGTTTGCGTACAAGCTATAAATAAATGATTTGTTATAACGTAATGTTGTTCCATACCATGGTGCATAGACAAGTTAATAGGTATGTGACAATAGTCAATACTAATATATGAAAGGCACATTATTTAATATAAAGAGCATTTAATTGAACACTTTAAGCTTTCTTTAAACGATGAGGAAATTATTTGTCTGGTGGTAATTTTTCTTTAGACATTCAAAGGTCAACTGCAAATTGTACCTATCGAATCCAGAAAAAAATATTTATAACTAAAAACTCGACCAACTGAGTCACAGGCCGTACTCGTATTCAATTGAAGTGTACAGTATATTTAAATATATAACAAATGAATTTAAAATTCTACATAAAGCCTAACTTTCTATTTATATCAGGCCCTAAGGGTGAAATTTAGACTCGAGACTTAGCCCGCACTATGGCCCCCAAATGTCAAAATCAAATACATTTTTGACCTACGGGAATCAGTCTTAGTGTTGTTCAGTTTCTGAATAGGAGAGATCATTATAAGTATGTACTTAACTGAAACTTCAAAAACTTGTAATTCATAGGTATATTTTGTCTCAAATTAATTGGTATTGAAGTTATACTTCTTTTGACGCGTTAGGGAAAAATGATGACAGTATATTTTTACGATGGGCGCGCACACCGTCACAAAAAACCAACACCTGAATATCTGTTCAAACATCGGTAAAACAGTTGGCGCTTGCTCTGTTTTATCGACAAGTTTCATTGTCTGTCATGGCGTAGTGTTTTTCAGAGTCGTGTTTATTTAAACCAAAATAATGATTTATATACGAGAAAACCCGTTCCAATGTGAGAAAAGCATAGTGTTTATTGTAAAATATCATGATTAGTACAAATTATATCGTTTCGATTGGAAGTGACCATTAAAAAGGACAACAAAAATGCAATGCTTCTAACGCGTGTACATAAGTACACACAGGTTTTTTATTTTTCTAAGTAGCCGATTAAACCATTCTAAAATATAAGCGTCTTTATTTTTAACAAGGCCATGACAAATTGGATTCAAAAGCTTGTTACCCTGTTCTAAGTGCGATATGAAAAAAGTGTTGAAGAAAAGGTATTATTGAGTTACATTGATTACAATAAGCTATTAGACATCAATGATATGCTCTACATACGCGAGAACGAACTGTGTGGCATACTTTAGCTATTTGAGGTGTCTTATCGACTTGAATAGATTGAATCTACTATAAAAAACGTGGCGCTTCTTCCTGTAGTTTTAGTCTCAGATATCTGTATCCGTTTCGTGATATATTTTTTCCTAGTCGGTGTTTTGCCATCTGTGCCCGACACAAATTTTGGTCTGAGGCATGCCGGTTTCCTCAGGATGTTTTCCTTCACCGCATGAGAGTGTTAATTGTGCACAGACATAAGACATAGAAATAAAATAGAAATGTGTATTGGGCACAACCGTGATTCGACCTCAGGGTTTCGAGGTGTACGTGGTTTAAAATAGATTCAATTTTTGTATGTGGCTCCTACATAGTAAAAAATTGTCTAATCTATGAATGAGCAATTAATGTTCTCTGATTTAACAAATATTTGAAAAAATGTCAAATGGAAAAAAATATTTTTAAAAGCTTCACTCTAGTGTTTAGTGGTTTACTAATACAATTTATAACTTATAAATACTATGACTAATGTATATAGACGATAACTAGTTATTATATTTTTATATTAAGAAAGTGGAATTAGAAAAATCCGAACCTACATTTTTTACTATATCCCATGACAAAAAGGGCTTTAGGGCTAAAATTGAAAAAAATTTGTTTACGATTCACTGCGTCTACATTTTCTTTTTATTAGGTACATTTTTTATATCCAGTTGCAAGAAACTGCATCTACCTAAATACCTGTGTAATTGTTTCGAATACAATAACGTTTTATCTGAACGACAGTAGGTCAGTTTTAATTGAATACCTACAGCCAAAATGAAGATTATACACGCACGGCCATTTTAACAATACTTCGGATTTACATAGTTTCTCCACGTTTTGAAAGTTTTATGCGCTCTTAGCCAGTGAGTTCTTTAAAAATAATAATGTTACTGCGACGAAATAATGATTTTTAAACATTAAAACTAAATAATTTTACGATACATAACTTATGGCGCGTTTAAACGGGCCATGTTTTTCCCAATAATGGGGTGCCCTGCTTGGCCCCCCACTGCCCGCCCAAAAAAAATATTTTTATCCGGCCGGCGGCCGGACAACCTCTGGGCTGGGCAAATTTTTGCTTTGGATTGGCCCCCCCCGGCGCCCCCCCCCCGGGGCCCCACCCCCCGGCCCCCCGGGGGGGGACACCCCCCCCCCCCCCCGGCCCCTTTTTTTTTTTTAAAAAAAAGGGGAAAACAAAGATTTGGATTCGACCCTACTTAAAAGGCGTGAAACTGAGACAATTTGAGTCTAGAAATACTGAATAAATTATCAAAAATAGAACAATATTAAGATCTAACTCAAATACAAGCTGATTTTATATTTATCTAACGTCAAATACAGCTGTTCGCCAAAAACCCAAATAAAAAACAAGGGCCCCCCCCCCCCACACAAACCCCCCTTCCCCCGGAAAAAAAACCCCCCCCCCCCCCCCAGTGGACTGAAACAACAAGATAACTGCTTGCTTCAGATCGATAGCCTGGCGATCGTCCGGCCACCCATCGGGGCAACATCGGCCATATGCTGCCTATACAAAACATGTTTGGCTATATATGCATGCCGAGATTACTGGCGCCAATATTGCAAAAGTGTGGCTGCTATTGTTTGCAAGCTTGCGGCACATTGTTGCAGCCATAATTGCAGCAAAACGATGGCCCGTTTTGAAGCCCCCTTTTTAAATCAAAAAGGGGAGCCCCCCCCATAAAAATTAACAAATTTTTTTCCTTTTTTTTTTTTTCCCGCTGATGTGTTGAGTTTTGGCGCCATTATTTCCCGGGAAGCTTAATTTTGCTTTAAATTGAACATAAATGTGATAATAAAGAACCCAATATGTATGTTAAAAATACGAATTTTATATAAAAAAATATTTCACTATGACAAAGGGCTTCGTACTGTAACAATATGTTTTGAATCAGATGGCCTCATATACACAGGAAGAGCGATGTGTTAGTCTTTGTTGGTGTCGTTTCGCGTCAGTCACTCAACACAATCGCATGACCGACACATCATCATCAATTATTATTAACGTGCGATTCTATCTTGTTTCCATCCAAATAAACCTTTTAAAGATAATTGTCAATTACTGGGTACTCGTTATTTCTATATATACGATTAGTAAGGTACACAAGTGTTGGTTTCGATTTTAAACAGAAATCGTAAAAAGTTAGCAAAAAATTTGAGATACGCATAAGTACGACTTAATGTTTATAAGATAAATGGGTGTGTTGGTGTGGTGGTGCTCTTTTCCTTTAACCTTAAGATCCTTGCCCCCAGACCCCAACAACTAAGGCCGATAAGTTGTTTATATCCTTAGCGGTCCAAACGTTGTTAGCACGTTCAGGGTATGATGTCATTGCAGTGATTGGAGGTCGTAGCTATATCATGAATATTAATAAAATAATATTCCAACTTATACATCATTGTATACGGATTTTATTGAAGCCACCGCAAGCGTGCCGCAAGCACAAGGTATGACGCGATGTGTGAAAGGAAATATTGTAATTTGCAGCGGCTCTAATGCAATATTCAACCCTTCCAACGGTATTTACCTTTTCCCATTAACATTATCGCATCCTTTATACGTAGCGTTGAAATAGGCCTTACAACTATTTTTTGCTGGTGCAGTTGCTGCATGGGATTTATGGGTAAGAATCTGCCTGGCGTCTTCTATGGGAAGTCTGGATCGACAAATAAGGCTCTTTGAACCACAGAGCACTCGATATTTGTTTTTATACTTTAAATATTTGCATGGGAATTGTGTATTCATTACTTACGCATTTTTTATTTAACTGTTTCTACTGTTACTGAATATTCCTCGGTTATGTGGAATATTTGATCAAATGAAATCACCTCGAATTTCGGCTTTTGAAAGAATTTAAACCATTTATTAAAGCGAATTACGCTTCCACCGAATGAAGGGTTGAAAAGTGAAAACCAAAGGGCACCGCTACTTTAATACATTTTTTATGGAACAAAAAAAAACAAACAACACGACAAACGACCGTGTGCCGTAAAAGTTTACGTTTACAATCACTTTCCTTTTGAACTTCATGCTAACAACGTCTACTTAAATAAAATTTACATATCATGTAACCCGCCATTCAATTTAGGTAAATCACCATCATTTTTAGCCAAAAAATACATCCTGTCGATTTTATCCTAAAACTATTTATAAATACAATATAATATATAGGCATAACACTACCGTTTCCGGTTCGTGTGCAGTGAGTTAAATATTTGAATAATACAACGAAATATCAAGGTCATCTTTGCGATTGCGTACATACGGTTTCAAATGTTTGCGAAACAATTGACATCTTGACTTTCTTATTTTCGATTTGGCGTTTGTGCAGTATTCTTGTTATAAAGTTTTCTCCTACATTTATATCCCTTATCACATAATCAATAGCCTTCATGTTATAGAAAACTTAACAAAAATTCGGTTGCTGGGTCATTGCAAGATTGTTTCTATGTCAGCCTACGAACTTTTAACCATCTATCTAATGGAGATCAGTGCCTGCTCACACACTCTTGCACTGTGATATGTCCCGCTTATTTCTACTTGTTACAATGAAGATTTTCATGACGATATAACGAATCTTATCTTATTGTATAAGATGAGCGAGACACCTACGAATTGAAATAGCAACAAAAATATTTCCAATTCACAGCGAATTCCTGGCCTTAAACAAATAGCGCGTTCATTTTGCTCCAGTTTTCTGCGAATTGTTTTCGTTGTGTATTCATGCCGTAAATCACAACGGGTAATTGACCCTTACCATTCGGCAATATTTTGTATAAAAATAATAACAAAACAAATAGGTGTTGTTTTAAAAAATAGGCAGCTCATAGAACATAGCACAAAGACCTATGTAACAAAGAATGAGTGAATTAGGTCTTTATAGCGGAATAGGTAATTAAAAAGTATATGAAAAATGTTCCATAAAAAAATTGTTTGGCAAAGACCATTCAATACCAATATAAATATTATTTCATAGTAAATAAATTATACAATACCTATCGCATTTTATTTTAATCTAATCAGAACCTCAGACATAAAGGCAAGTTGAACCGTGCCAATTAATGCTAAAGAAGAAACATATTTTTTTTTAGTTTACTTGAGTACATTTAAATCAAAGCTTTTTAACTAATGTAAACGCGAATTTGTTACAATATTTAAATTTTATAAAAATTCGCGGGTGAAAAATACATTATTTTTAGAAACTCCAAAAGTTCATACATTTAGCGTGGGCATTAGGCTAAGAAATATTAAAATATTAATTTTTAAATGAAATCTCCCAAAATGTTAAATTTACATTTCAGAAGTTCTTCATCTCATTGGTGAGCCAGATTTTCGTGATGTCCGATTACGTTGGGAGTACGGTCAACCTGATGAGGACTCAAGAAAGCTGCTGGCATTCCAAATACACTACTGTGAGCTACAAGCTTGGGGGCAATACCGATGTCGAACTAAGGTAACCCAAAAATCCTTGAATATTGATATTAAAACACAACACTGTTCGGAGCATGGACTGCATATTGTTGTGGAGAAGTACCTGGAGTTATGGCTTGATTAATTTTCATAGAACACGGACTTGAGGCAAATTCTCTTTGCAACAAAACCCACTAACGCCATACGAATATGATAACTTATAAGGTCACGTGACAAAGTGTAAGCTAATGTCATTCCCATACGTTTAACATTAGTGAGTCACGCCTGTCGAATAGAGGTTTTGTCTCAAGCCCAACAATGGAATCCCGGTACAAAAAAAGTGTTACCATTTTATAAACTTAAAACTAGAAATTTTATAAGTGTTGCCATCAACAAACTAATTAAAGCCTTCTTATCTATTTGATTTATGATATTTGTAATAGCAGTATGGAGCTCTAGATAAAACATATTACTATGTGCAGTAACCGTAACATAACGTGACGAAGGCTATAACTCTGACCGCGATCGAATCCCAATTTATTTTATTATTGCGAAACATAATATCTGCATTCTAGATGTTCTCAATTTAGAGCGTATTGAATGGTTTCCGTGGGTCTGGGCAATATTTTATTATAATTTTCTTGGTTAATGAAATCGAATTGTAACCAGTAATTCAGAATAGATTATGTTATTTAAAACAATATCTAGTTGTTACATGTCCGCATATCTATGGTAACTAACGGCCGCTTTCAATACTTAATACTATAATCCAAAATTATTTCTAATCCAGATTCGGTTATTGAAAAGTATTTTATGAGAAATGAATTGCAATATCAATCTCTACTAGGAAAAAATGGATTGGGATTGAGTATAGAAAGCGGCCGTAAGGCACAGAAATTTCTGTGAAATTACTTTTGCGTTACCTTTAACGGAGTTAAACACGCATATTGGCAAAATAAACCAGTGGTGCTACATTTTTAGGGCTGGGCCTCAGATTTCTGTATCTGATCGTGATTAATTGCTTTTTCTAAAAGACAAGTAGGTGATCACCCTTCTGTGCCTAACACACGCCGTCTAATATTAGGTCTAAGACAAGTTTCCTTGTTATGTTTTCACCGTACCAGCAAAGTGTTAAATGTGCACATAAGAGAACAGTATAGAATTAATAATATTTTTTTAGGTAGTAGAGAACTTCGAAGACAGGGGGAGAAGAGAAGGGAGAGTAACCGAATCTACAACTACTACCACTACAACTACCAAACCCACTTTGGGAGTGCGACGAGGAAGAGTTTATACTACGTTCATCACTGGTCTCCGTATGGCCACCACTTACTCCTTTGAAGTGAGACCGGTGAGACGAGACCCAAGAGACCTCGCCGATCCACTTTCCATCGGCTCAAAGATTATCATTGTTCCTACCAAAGGATGTAAGTACCTATAATAATAATAATAAAATAAAAGCCTGTTTAATTTCCAATCAATACAAAATTAGAATATACAGCTTAAATTTGTAATATATTATTATTTTCTTGCTATCCTAATATCGTAGCTTCCTTCAGTACCGTTGATCGGAGCCCCTTCACGAGTAAAGGGGCCAGCTTTTTCCAAATACAAGGCTCTCTTTTACCATTCGCTTTCTGCTAACGCTTCAATAGCTTGCCGTGCTGAAGTTCGGCTAACTTAGAGTTAAAATACTTACTCAATGTTAACCTAAATTTTGACACCTCAACACATATTATGACAAAAGAATACCATAGCTACCAATATATACAGGGTGGCCAAAAAGTCGTGGAACAACAAACAAAAGGGGAAAAAAGAGGGCCCCCGCCGGAAAAAAATTTGTTCCGGGGGGCTGTCCAGGCCCCCCCCCGGCGGGGTTTGTTTTTTTTTTTTTTTTAAAAAAAAATTTTTTTATACAAATTAAAAAAAAAAAACTAAAATATCCCCTACCCTCTCCTTTTCCCCAATATCCCCTCGGTTGGGGTTTTTGGGTTCCCCCCTTACTTCTCCCTTTTTTTGGGGTTTTTGGGGGATATTAAAAAAAATAATAATTTTCACATTTTTTTTTTCTTTCCCCCCCCTCCCCTCCCCCCCCCCCCCCCCCCCCCCCCCAAAAAAAAACCCCCCCTTTTCCATTTTTTTCGCTTTTTTTTTTTTTTTTTGGGGGTTTTTTTAGGGGGGGGGGGGGGCCCCCCGCCCCCCCCCCCCCCCCCCCCCCCCCCCCCCAAACAAAAAAATTTTTTTTCCCCCCCCCCCCCCCCCCCCCCCCCCCCCCCCCCCCCCCCCCCCCCCCCGGGGGGGGGGGGGGGGGGGGGGGGGGGGGGGGGGGGGGGGGGGGGGGGGGGGGGGGGGGGGGGGGGGGGGGGGGGGGGGGGGGGGGTTTTTTTTTTTTTTTTTTTTTTTTTCCCCCCCCCCCCCCCCCCCCCCCCCCCCCCCTTTTTTTTTTCCCCCCCCCCCCCCCTTTCTTTTCCCCCCCCTCTCCCCCCCCCCCCCCCCCCCCCCCCCCCCCCCCCCCCCCCCCCCCCCCCCCCCCCCCCCCCCCCCCCCCCCCCCCCCCCCCCCCCCCCCCCCCCCCCCCCCTTTCCCCCCCTTCCCCCCCCCCTCCCCTATTTTTTTTTTTTTTTTTTTTTTTTTTTCCCCCCCTCCCCCCCCCCCCCCCCCCCCCCCCCCCCCCCCCCCCCCCCCCCCCCCCCCCCCCCCCCCCCCCCCCCCCCCCCCCCCCCCCCCCCCCCCCCTTTTTTTTTTTTTCTTTTTTTTTTTTTTTTTTTTTTTATTATTTTTATTTATTTTTATATAATCCCCCCCCCCCCCCCCCCCCCCCCCCCCCCCCCCCCCCCCCCCCCCCCCCCCCCCCCCCCCCCCCCCCCCCCCCCCCCCCCCCCCCCCCCCCCCCCCCCCCCCCCCCCCCCCCCCCTTTTTTTTTCTTTCCCCTGTATATCTTTCCATACGTCCTTATTTACATACAATTAGTCAGGTGCATTCAGATAAAAATTCTATACTAAAAATCCACTACATTTCTTGTGTTCTTCTCGGATGGAGCCTTTAACATACAACAAACTTTCCGAATGATTCATAAAATATCCTTTATGTTCTTTAACATTACGTAAGTCGGCTTTGATTTAGATGACAATAATTTAAAGAAAAAATACATTATTTTCGTTGTTAAGAACACTTTATATAATTCAACTTCGAAAATATGTTGTTTATTCCGAGAAAAGAACCAAGTGCCGATGCAGCAGCATTCTAAATGTGACAATAATGAATTCAATTATGTAATGTATGTATCGCTTTGCATTTTGCATCGCGCGAAAACTAGAGGGCGGCGTCGGCGCAAATAAATCGCCGGCATCGTCCATATATAACAAAAGTAATATAATATTTATGTAAGTACTTAACGGCGCTAACTAGCGATAACGTTTATATCAGATAGAAACGATTTATTTAATAACATTTTTCTATACGATAACTTAATAATACGAACACAATTCGAAAGCTACATCCACGAAATGCTATTTTGCATACGAAAACATATTTTACTATTCCATGTTCGTGATAATGAAGTATTAAATCAATCATGTGTATTTTAACTGAATAATATATAAAAAAATAATTGCATAGTCACCGTAGCCTGTGTGTAAAAAAATAATAATTAATTTGCCTGCCGTAGAAGTATTTAAAATATTTCAGACAAAAATAATATTTAAATTATGCTCATCACGCCTGCGAAATTTTTTTGGTAGACTCTAATGCAATAACAGTGTACGACGGTTTACTTTTTATGTTTTTAATATTATTATTGTTTTCTCATGTATGTGTCATATATGTTTTTGATAATAATAAACTTCTTTGAACCAAAATTTATCTGTTTAAGGCACAGGCGAGAGCAAATCATTGGTTTACCAATAATTAGAAACAGTTGGACTAAAAAATTTACATTTCATTGATTTTTGTTTCTGATTTCAATAGATACAACAATTGGCAATTAATATTGATAAAAAACCAATAAAAATTAAATTTTGCGTGAAGAAAACAAAAGTGTGCTGGTTTTAACGATAAATAATAATGATTTTCGATTTGAATTACGATTATTAATGATAACAGTTGTAAATTAGCGATACTAATTTATATTCATCTCCGAAAGCTAAATAGAAAGTGCTTATATAAGTGTCTACTAGGACCACTTTCTAATGGATATAAAAAGTATTTATCAGAAAAGGATCTTCTAAAATAATACTATGCATTGACAGATATAATTAAATATATTTTTTATTGACTTTCTATAAAACATTTCGCTTAGCCCACAGCCACACGCTGTGGGGCATGTGATGCGCCTGTGTGAGTGGCCATTTAAGCGCCTCCATGTTATGCCAGGTATCTAACATAGTACTTACCTCTGTATTATGCGCCATGTGTACCACTATGCTACGGAGGCGATTTTTGTAAGAAAGCGCATAATGCAAGACAACACACTCCTTATTTGTTTCTTCTTCTTACCATATAACTGCAATCAAAATCTATTATAACGACATCAAAGGGACTACTCATATTTGGTCGTAAAAACCGATAGTCGTAACAGCCGATGGCGTTGTTATTAAGTACCTAATACAAAGAATTCAGCCGGGACCTCTGATTTTGGTCAATATAACCGGTATGTTGTTCTAAACGATTTTGACGTATTTATGACACTACTTTCTCACGATATGGCTTCTAATTTGAACGCCACAATCTTATTCTATGAAATTTTCTTCATCAAGTGAACTCATGATACACTCAGATTCGAATTTTGGCAGTTTATGTATTTTATAAGCAAATAGTATCTGAAGAGGGTTTTCGGAAATTCAACTAAGTATAACCAGAAAAACGTCTTCAAAAATCGAGCAACGAAAGTGCAATTGGTAACGTAATAAATCATAAAAAGAGATTTACAAGCCATTTATTCTACGTACAGTTCACAAGAACTCTCACACTCACTTAGTGAGAGCAGCCGTCCTATCTACGCGTGCGATCTAATCGATTTTTCTTTCTTTAATCGCAACTAACACTAGCTCAAGCGATTTCTTCCCATCGTACAGAAAACGGCATGTCTTAATCTAAATATTGACGACGTAAGAAAAATAATTACACAGACGCAAAAGTATATCTTTTCTCTTCATCTATCAATCTGTGCTTTCAGTTTCAGCACGCGCCACCCAATGCTTGCCTCACGCAAGCGAAGTGGAGGTCTCAACGGGTCCGTACTTTGGGGGGGCGAATAGCCGTAGAAGCAGCAGATGGCGGTCCGGAACGCTGTTCCCTACAAGGGAACCCCAATAGTGCCCAGGATGCGTACATACTTCGAATACACCACGATGAATGCGGGTCGGATGTTAACGAAACCACTGTAGCGACATATGTCATCGTGCAAGAGAATCTGCCGATATTGACGCACAGCACTCGAAGGTACGTATTTTGGTTTTTGCGCACCATTCTGCAGTATAGAGATTAATTTCTCTTATTTCTAAATCACGTGGTAGATACGCCGTTATTTGTATTAAATTTTAAATGCCTTGAAGCGTTTTATCTTTTATAAAAAGTTGTTTTAAGAAACTTAAACCAACCGAATACAATCAACTAAAAAGGAATAGAATTATATAATTTATTATTAGGTTATTATTAGCATTAGTACCTATATTATACGGAAATGGGTCGGTACCCAAACCTCAAAAAGTTAGACTGTTGCCTTGAATTTAAATGAAGGGTCATTTGATATGACTTTCAGTTTACGAGAAATTTTGTACGTTGTTGGAAGCCTACAACTTTTTATTAACAGTTTTAGTTAATTATCGGTCAACTCACACATCGGTCAAATAGATAACTTCTTTTTTTGATGTCAAAAGCATTACAAAAATGGCAATCGATTTTGGCGGATTCCTGCGTAAAAACTTACCTACTACTTACTATAATTTATTAAACCCGAATATGATAGAAATGAATTGATAATAATATAATCTTTTAAACTAGAATAAAATATATCTCTTATGTGTAGTCAATAAAATTTATGGTAAATTTAGTAAAAAATATTTTTTATAATATTGCCACAGCCTAATTTATTTTCTATTATTTCACAGTATATTAGAACCAATGTAAACATAAATGCTTTTTCTTCTAGACTTCTAGCGTGTTGTTTCTATTGTAGACTAATCCAATAAATTGTTTATAGATTCCTAGTGCTATGCTCATACAAACCGGAAACGTTGACGGTTCGAGCTGGTATCAACTTACCCAAGTCAAGTCCCGGCGATGTGTTACTGGAGCCCCGCCCTTTGGGCTCAGTGGAGCCCTACGACTTAGATGACAATAATCTCCAACCGGCAAGACTTGAAGCTCAGAGGGATGACTCAACACAAAGTATGAAACTTATTTTACGGCGGTGGATTAATAGAACTTCTATATAACTAAATACCATTGTACTAACGCAATTCTTTAATTAAACCATTTGAGAACCAAACACTTTTAATCAATGTATTTTGTATTGAAAATTTTAAACACTATCAAATGGTCATATTTTATTAACTAATTTGGGTACAGCAGATCGTCTACAAATCTTTGTACCCCGGGAAACGAATCCAAATTGACGCATTGAATAAAACGAATTACGTAATTAAAATATCTGGAAACGCAGTTAAAAAAAATTAACTTTCTACAACACAAATTATAATTAACTCCGCTCTCCTTGTTAATTTGATAAGCGTGTTAAATTCAAATCGCGTAACTGTCGTTTATGGTTTAATAAAACTAAACCTCGTAAGATTATTTCATAGAGATAGAAGATTTTTTAGCATAGACTAACCTTACGCAGGAACACTTTTAGCGGGAAAGTGAATAATTCGGGAATCGGGATTCTATAAAGTGTAAATAATCGTATACATATAAAACTGGAATAAGCACATTATATATTTTAGCTTTTTGCTTTGGAACTGACGTTATGTGGACGTACGAGGGTTTTATACATATTATGTATACATAATACAATGTTATGATCATATTTGGTCAATATGTTTAAGAAAGTAATCATTAAGAATTGACTTGTAAAGCAACTTTCTCTAATACTTCATAATTAAAAAATATTAATACATTCGAACATTTTTATTAAGTTTCTGTATTCATAAAAACTTTTAATAAAATAGTTTTACCGGAAATTTATTTATTTACGTTATAAATAGTTGGAAATCAATATTAGAACCCTTGACCTTACAAGGAACGCGTAAACTTTTATATTTTGAAAATTATGTCTAACATTTAATTGATCTGATTGAACATAAAATTCATACTTATTTTAAATTTTATTTTCAGGTATGTTTGGTGAAATAACAATGGTTATGTTTTTGGTTGTTACTGCGTTTGTCGGAATTGGTGTTCTTGTATGGAAGATGGTTCCCCAAGCCGATAAAGACAACATATCCATTGGAACTGTGTCATCTCTTTCTCGCAGCAGCATTTTCGGTGGACGTAACAGAGATAGATTCTCAGACAAGAGTTCAGTCTACTCAATAACATTGTCCGAGAAGGATGAGGATATTGTTAAGAAGCAGGGTGATAATACTTCTGAAGCTTAATATGTATAAAAAAAGAATAAAAACTTAAGTACTGTATTCAGCTGGTCTGAATTTCTCTATGGCTAAGATTTTGAGACAGGATTCAAAGTCGAAACTCAGCGATAAGCACTTTTGTATTTTTTTAAAAATATTGTATCTGATGACTCCCGTATCAATAATAAATAAGTTAAAAAAATCGTAAAAATTTGTTAATCAAATGTCAGATTCAATTTCAAGATTTAGCTTGAATAAGCGCGAAATAGCGCTAAGAATGTGACAAAAATGTATTGAATTTTGACATACAGTCATAGTTTGTGCTGACCCCAGGGCCCAGACTTCCATATGTCAAAAATGTATTGGATTTTGATTTGATAGATGTGAGTTCTAAAAGTGTTCGATACATTAATTGCCTAAACTTAGCTTTAATTGTAAATATTTTGTGTTAGGTCAGTATACTATAAACCTACTTAGACTAATACAATTAATAAAGTATTTTAATGAACCTAATTGTAATTATAAAAAAGCAATACTATACAAGATTTTAATGTGTTAGGTATTTTATATGAGTAAGGTGTAAAATGTGTGTAATAAAAAGCAAATATTATTTAAATGTTATTTCATTTAATTCACCTATACGCATATCACGCTGCATAGGTATTTGAGCGAAGAGAAATTCCTTGACAATATCGTTAAGTTCTTCGAGGGCTATTTGAGAATGCAATCTAACAATTGAGTCTTCATTTTCATTTTTATATATGTTATTTAAGCCTCTATATATTGGTAGCAGATTGTCCTTTAATTCAATTAATGTATCCCGCCCTAAACCCTTTAGTAAACTCGATATGACCATGACAGCTGCACGACGACATTCGATTGCGTCATCACTTTCTATTATACTCCAAATACAGATAAGAATCTGAAATATACATAATTAATTCAAAACTAAACCTATGTTATTAATAACAGATAGTAGGTATATAAGAAATCTAAAAGTAAAAAGTATAGTAAAGCGGAACTGGATATATAAAGCAAAGTAGGTTTAATACGATATTTTTACTCAAACAAAATATTATTTCAAACAGACAGCAGGCATTATAGCAGACCTATCTAGTTCGGACTCCATACTAATTAGATTCGAACAATTTAATATACATGAAATTTCAGAAAAAAAAGATACAGGCTAAATAGAAATAATTAATTTATGTTTTTTTAAAGATATACGCCATGCTACGGAATTCCCACCAAATATAAATTCGAATCGAAAACTAAAAAAAATTCCCAGAGGTATTTTACTCCCTCGGAGGAAAATAATCTGCTAAATATTTTTAAAAAGTCTACAGAAAAAGCGAAAGCAAGAGAAGAAGAAAAGTATAGAGAGAGACAGAGAACATACCTCATATATAATAGTTCCAACTCTATAATGCAATACCAAAGCAATCTCTGCAAGGTTGGAAAGAGCGGAGGCTCTTATCAAGGGGTCTTCATCACGACACCCGCATAAGAACGTATTCAATAATATTGTCTTGTGTATTATTGATAATTCACCTAAAATTATAGGGTCCCAATTAAATATGTTAATAAGGGACGCCAAACATAGTTTTACTATATTATATCCATACCCATAAAAACTTTTAAACTGCAAAACATAATAGTTGAAATTATTTATAGATTTAATCTTTTTAATATTCGTCAATATTTAATATTTTTGATACTGTTAAAAGTTACGGTTTTATATATTTCATATAGAGTTAATTTTCACTAGTGTAAGATAAACAAAATATATAAATATGTCAGCGTCTGCGACATTATCGTCTAACATTAAAAAAAGATCTTTGTGCTTCCACAGTTAATTTCACATCTTGATGAAGTTCATAAGATTTTATTGATACTATTCTATTACGGTAATTATTCGAATTTACGTATTGTATGCTTAAAGCATATTGAGCTTATAGACAATTTTCACTTACCAAGACGTTTTGTAACTTTGACAACAATATCACCAATTTTCATTCTCAACTCCGCTTTATTATTTTCACTTATTTCAATATTTTCTGTAGACACTTGAAGAAACTCCTTGCAAAGAACTCCCAATACATCTTCTGTGCAATGTGTAGCGAGTGATGCTATTCCATTGATTGCAGATAAATACACATAGGAGTCCAAGTCTTTTAAATGTTCCTGAAACAGTCAATTGCCAAATGTAAGCCATTTATGTACATGATTTTAATCTAAAAACACAACAAATAGGATTATTAATGAACATTGTGTATTGTATATTACAACAAATATAAAGCCAATTAAAAAATAAAATATAATACAAACCATAATTTTAATTTTGTATATTTAGGGACAGTGTGCCAAAAACCTCATATAAATTTAAACAAGGTCATTTGAACCTAAACCTATTAAGTGTGATTGAATCTTAGTTGTAAAATAGACATAAGAGTATGGAGTAATGGCATAGAGCACCTACCATTATCGCTATAACTTTTGAGTCAATGTTTAGGATTCTGTGCCTGCTAATTTCTGATTCAAGCCCAGAAACCACCTAAGTCAAAAAGATGAATATTTAAAAAAGTTAAATAATTACCTGGAAGAGGCAAAACAGATAATGCCTCTTTGAAATAGTTTCAGTGTCGCCAGCATCAATTAGTTTTCTTAGTTCCATAATACCATGAGCCCTCACTGGTAAAAGCTCATCAAATACATTTGATAAAGCTTTGTCATAAGCTGAATTAGACTTAGGAAAACTCTTGATTGAAGATAATAGCTCTCGACATAAAATACTATTATCATCATTTCTCATTGATAATTTTTCAAGTGTTGGTATTAAATGCATTAGCCTATGTCCGAATTCTTCATTAGAATGTGTAAGGACTGAGTTAAGTAATACTAAAGCTATAGTTACACATTCATCAGATTCCTTGTCTATGATCAATAAATTTTCTACAAAGTCAATAGCTATTGATGGGTTACTTTTCAAGATTTTACTGGCTTTTTGTGTTGATGAAGCTTCAGATAAAAGTAAAAGTAGACCGGCATACTTCTCATGTTGCTCGGTCAGCAGTATTGGATCTTTTTCTAACATTAATAGTGACTGATTTCTTTTACTTTGTAACAGGTCAATAAGCAGCTGTAAAAAACTTGTAAAGAGATGTTCTGTTACTTTTTTAGATTCAGAGTTTTTAAATAAATCCATTAAGAGAGATATCTTTTCTTCCATAGGAATGTTTACATCTATGGCACATTTTAATATTAGGCCCATGTTATATTCTTCAACATTTAAATGTAGTGGTCTTGGCTTGTCATATATTACTTCTTTTACAGTTTGATAAACTTCCTCTTTATCTATTTTTTCCAGGATTTTTAAAATTATGCCGTTTAATTTAATTTTCAGATTGTTACTGGAGCATTTCATAAATAATGCTAATAAAAGATTCAGATTGATAGACAAAATCCTAAATGGTACATCAGATTTAGTGCTACATACACATGCATGTAATATCAAAATTTTTTGGTCTACTTCTTGTGATGTTAAAACTATGGTACCAGGGTCACAGGGTTGTGATATAATTGATTCATAGTCAAAGGGTTGAAGAATGTCTTTCAAGAGACAATTGACATCATCATTTTCTTGGTATCTCCCAAATAAACTGACCAGACAAGATGCAGCAGTTGTTAAATAGTGGGCATTATTAAGAGAAAAAATTTGTTTTAATTGATTGCAAATATTTTTCAGATATTCACTTTCTGTAACATTACCATGTTTATTACAGATAATTTTACAAATCATATCTATTTTTGTCCATTCCACTCCTGTATCAATGTTATGACTTTCTATAAAACATCTGATGAGGCTGAGCAATCCTCCAGGTGAAATAAGACGTCTGCTCATTTCTTTGGCTACTGTTCTCTTGACGAACAGGGGAGGATTAACCTCTTTAACATTTTGTAAAACTAGCAATTCCTTCATAAGCAATGGTTGAAAACAATTTTTGACTAAATATTCATATATTTCAATATAAATCTTTCTCTCAGTGTTAAGAATTATATACTTTTCATCAGTCATAACAAAATTCTCATATACACCAGGCTTTTTTAAAGGTGCAAATGCAAGTTGTATTAAGGCTGCTAAATAGTCAGACAGGTGAAAAGTTAAAATTATATTTTTTAGTATCGGAACTTGGTAGCTTTTATGAAGAAAGTCTGTACATTGCACAAGTATTTTATATTTTTCCTCATCAGTCAATTGCAATTGTGGAAGAAATTTTCCTGATTTGTTCAATCTTAAACGTAATCCCAAGCCGGGAATTAAGCAATTTGAAATTCCAACATTAATTACTACTTGGTAACATGTTCTTAATATCTTCTGATTTTTAACACTGATCAAAATGTTTGCAGTGTTATTAATTACATTCATTAATTCATTCACCTCTTCAATTATATTTTGAATAAAGCCATTAATTGAATCAAAGTGAGTATTATTGCACTTAACATCCGATTCGTTTTGAATAATTTCTTTAAGTAATGTAAAGTAGTCATCATCATCTCCTGAAATTTTGTAAAAACATTTGAATGTTTTTAACTAACATATTAGCAATTATATAGGTATAGCAGTAAAATAAAATAATTTTATTTACTGTGTTGACCTATAGACATGAAGTTATTGTACACCTTACCTATTCTTAAAGAACTGTCGATCCTTTTACACAATTCGTTTACATTGGACATTTTCTAGAAATCCAATAAAACAAATATGTATTACAAATTTAAAAAAAATTAAGTATGTTAAATCCGGAAATTAAAAACAATGATCAATTATTATAGTGAATTGTTAAATTAACCAATACTAAATCCACAAAATACAGACAACTTGATTGGTATTAGTAATTTACTAATTTGCATTAATGATTAAAGAGAAAATAAGGTAGCAAGTCTAAACTCACTTCACTTCACTTTATTTATAATGGCGAATCTGTGTAAATCACAATTCCGCCAATGTCACGTTCTAAGTCTTCACACAGTGAGGATAGATTGATAATTTTGATAGATTGATTTTATCTAAGCAGAGTTACCCAAAACAAAAATGACATCACAATAAATACAACACACACAACATCAATAATATATACAAGAGGTTAACATTTTACTACAAGGTATGGAGGAGAATCTTATTTATAACTTTAATTTATTAACAGAAATAAATTTCCCTAAAATATTACGATCGAGCTGGATGGGAGGGAAAGTAGGGAGTTAAGGTTACATGGACGAGGGAAATCTGAAGAAAGATGGTCAAATAACGAGTCATTAATTAAAGAACAGTTAAAAAAATGTGGTCTGTCGAGCCCTCGTCCATACCACACTCACAAAAGAACTGTCTTTAATTTTAATTTGGCTAGATGAACGGGAGTACAAGCGTGCCCTATACGAAGACGGCAGATTATAGACGTGACCTTTTGTTTAAAAACTTATATTTAAAAACCACGGCGAAGAAGGGATTGAATACTGAATATTAGCATAGTGCCTGCCAGTTTACTTTAGAAGATTGCCAATCAATAGTCCAGGATTTAAAAGGTGGGAGTACGCAAGAGCTGATAGGTCGTGGGCCGAGATGTTGGGATGCTGACAAGATCCGCAGAAAATAGCACCTTTGCACAAGAGTCAGCAGTTTCATTACCCGCTATACCACAATGACTAGGTATCCACAAAAGACAATATGAATATCTTTTACTACACCTAAAAAAACTTCTCTTATAGAATAGTATTATGTTTTTTTAGACCTGAATGGATTGGAAAGAGTTGCCTGTAAACAGCTGCGAGAATCGGAAAAAATTGTAACTTATTAGGTTGTGGGACTCAGCATACAAAACCGCTTCTAGGATTGCAAAACACCTGAAAAAACGGAGGTCAATGGAGGAAGTTTAAAGCTCAATACTGTTTTGAACGAAGGAACCTATACAGCCGCACCGATGTACTCATTATTGGGAATCTTGGAAGCATCAGTATACATCGGTAACCAACCCTGCAGTCTTTTGAAATTTTTTCCAGAAAACAAGTGGAAGCTTGGGTGGATTTTTTTTCAATTCCAAAGTTAAAATTATTTTAGATAAAGGATTCATAACTATACTAAACTCTAAAGTAATAAATAGGCAATAGCCAACTGTCAACAATTAACATCTAACAAGTTTTATTTTTTTTATATGGCATCTAACAAGTTAAGTCAGTGGCTTGAGTAACTGTCAAGTATCAAGCCATAGTAGACTATGTCAAGAGTCTTGACAAATTACTTGACTATGGCTTGATAGTTGACAGTAACATTAACATTTGACGCAAGGAGAACTCATAAATTTTCGTTTTTGCAAAGTGTTTGACTAAGGATTAGAAACTGAATCATATTGTTTAGATTAACTATTGCCACAAAATATTTAAGAATTTAAGTTCCTTGATCAGTTGCGTATTTAATTAGTTTGCACAGCAGTCTACCAAAATGTTAATCAAAGTTAAGGTAAAACCTTGGGATTTGCTAATTCTCGTGTTTTAAAATGTGAAGAAACTTAACCTTGTCCTTTGCAGACTCTTACTGGAAAAGAAATTGAAATAGACATTGAGCCAACAGACAAAGTAGAGAGAATTAAAGAACGGGTTGAAGAAAAAAGAGGGGATACCGCCTCAACAACAGAGATTGATCTTTTCGGGCAAGCAAATGTAAGAATCGGCTTTGTTTGACTATGTATGTATATGTCGTCGGCGCTGTTATATTGCTATATCATTACTAATATAAAAATATGAAGTCATTTGTGATACAAATAACAGTATGAAGGGTCTAGGATATCTGTCAGGTTGAGTTGTAAAATAAGGAGCCAGAGTTGGAAAATAACTTTTATAACAAATATATAGATATTACTGTAGCTCCATTTTTCTTGTGTAGCTTTCAATATTTTTCATAATTTATGACCATAAATTAGACTTAATACACCTATTGAGATGTAAAGATAGATGATGTTTTTATTTTTTACAGGAATGATGAGAAGACTGCACAAGATTATAAGGTACAAGGTGGCTCTGTTCTTCACTTAGTGTTGGCTTTGAGAGGGGGCAAGTGATCAGTGGTCAGACATCTCATATTTTTAATGCTTAATTTTAATTCCTCTTTATTGTAAAAAGTGAAATATGATAACTGTCTTTAACTAGTTTATACTTTTAATTTATTCTTAGCCCCTATAATCCCATTGTTATTTTAACTAATTTCAGAGTCAAGTTCAAGTCTAAAAAAATCAAATAAACATTTGTTGAGTAATAGAAACACACTCTCAGGTAACAAAATTTTAAATGCATCTATTATAGACTTCTGGGATATGATAGTTCATACAATGTAGGAGAAGAAGTATTTGCTGATAACTCTGCAGATGTAAAAAAAAATTGGTCTGCTTTGGCCAATATACTATACTATACTTCTAATTGTACCATTCAAATAAACCAATTTCTGTTCAAAGGCAAGCAATGAAAGCAACAGATTTGGGAGAGTCATAGCTGCTTATATTTTGTAAATTCCCTGAAAATCCTGAAATGTATAGTTGTCTGTATTAGTAGTAATGAAACTATGAACATTTGAGCAAGTACTTTATTACATCGATAACATTTAAAGTACACAACTTGCACTGAATTTTACATAAAAATAAATCTTTGGTTCACAGAGTAAACAACATCAATCTTACATATTATAATACTTATATCTACACATCAAAATATTGCCACAAGCCACAATTTCTAATTATAAGATGTCTAATTTGAGCACTAAATTTCATTTGGAATAAAATTTTCTTAAACTAAAGTCTGAAAGCTTAAGTGTGAATAATTGAATACATAGTTATACAATATAAAATTTAAATGACTTTGGGACGGAAATATTATATAATAATTTTTTTCAAATAATATAGAATGAATTTTGTGCTTTTCTGAAGTATTGAATGAATTATTAGAATAGAATTAGATGGTTAAAAAGAAGCACACATTGTTCTAAGCGTTGAGCATTTAATACATTTTGGCACATGTTCACCGCAATGGTCAATAAAACATTTATTCTAGACTTGACACATAATTGGAATGAATTTTACCACATGCAAAAACATGAAAAATAAGTACAGGAATGTTTATGTTCACCATACTGTTAATAAGAGTTAAAAAATGTTCACTAAAAATTAAGTTCTAAAATTAATTATCTACAAGAGATCCTTTCTTCTCTGTTCATTGTTAATACCTGAAATCAAACACTAAAATTTATAAAATGAACTTTTTTTGTGTGAAAGTGAAGGTTATGTGCAACCCGTGATCGAAACTCGGGGCCTAACAGCACCAGAGACCAGGGGTGTTACTATGACTGAGAACAACATTGCTATGTTTATTTTATTATTATATTTAAATTTAATAATAAAACAAACATAGAAAACTTCTATAAGAAGTTACGGGACAAAACAGAAATTCATAATTAACTAAAAACTATTTTTTAGTTAATTAACTCTTTAGTTTATATTAGTTAACTCTTACCATACTTCTTCAACCATCTGACAATGAAGGCGTAACCCAGCCGTATTTATCGTGTGTCTTGACGAGTGATCGGAACGCCTCTTCTGCTCGTCTCTTTGAGAACTCTCTAGAAGAGCGAGGCGGCGCACGCGCAACCCGCCCTTGTCCCTTCACTACTGAAGCAGCGAATTGCATCACGATTGCCTCCACTGTGTAGGCTGATGCCCAGCCACGGGGCGTCAATAGTTCCATGCATATTGCTCCACCTTATAAAATCAAACGTACACTAAAGACTTCTTAGATACCGTACAATGGTAACAAAGGTTTTACTGAATTTAAAGGACCACGACCGCTGTAAAGGTAGACTTAGTAAGGAAAGAGATCCGACGTGGCGGTTATACGAATTATTATGTCTTTTTTAAAATATATATAATGACAATAATGACATAACAGTGTTGACAATATACCTAACATCGAAGCCCGCTACGACCTCACATCTCTTCCGTACAGAGAGATTTAAAACTACGATCCTAAACTTATTTGGATTAGGGACATCCAAAATTCCAGTAATTTGCTACGTCGTAGAATTCTCTATGAAATAAAAACTGCTCTTCAGTTCTCGATGTAATGGTTAGACAGGCTCAAATCACTATGTGTTGTTACTTAATATTAGATTATGATATTTTTATCTTACATCTTGAATAAGAAATTTCGTATATCGATGAATTTAGAACCTTAGAAACTATTATACAAAGAATTGACTATATAGTATAGCCCTTCTGCTCTTTAAGCTAAAAAAAATTCTATCCCTGAGATTAGAAGTTTTCTTTAGAGCTAAGCCTTTAAACAAAGCAATATGTATCAAAAAGAAATTCGTCATTTTAATTATAATTAGAAATATAATACCTTCCATAACAAATCCCTTCTCTATTCGGGGCTCGATGACTCTCATAAACGGCGGAGCGAACGGAAAATTCTCTGGGAAAACGAGATGCAGGAGAATATTGGAAATGTTCAACTCCCGAAGATCCGCCGCCAACTCGCTCTCGGGATCGATCTGGTGCAGGCGTACGTGCCACTCGAATAGATTATCATTCACCAGCTCAACCTTTAAAACAATTTTTTATACGTTCATTGTCTATAAAGAGTTAAGTTACATTCCACGTGCGTAATAGTATTTAAAGAGTCGAAATTTTATTAATATGGTTGTAAAGCAGTGTTAGTCTGTGCTGCTTAGGTCCAGAATTACCAGCCCCGTGGAACAGTCTGCTCCTCAGCAAAATGCTGAGCCAGGGCCAATTACAACCACAGCACACACGCATTACACGTTTAAAACGAACCTTGTTCCTTAAAGGAAAAAAACATGCTATCTCTCATTATTTTTTTTTTCTTTGATTGTTGTTATTATGTGTGTTTCTGTGTGTATGTTTTTTTTTAAAGTAATAAATGATATGTCTAATCTAGTCACTTTTCTTGAGGTCGTTTGGTCCCGGCGTTAATGATTCAAGCTCGTAAGCTAACGGTTAATATCGTGTGACGTGCATATCATCTATTTGTTCACATAGAAAAAATAATCACGAAAACGACACAGAAACCTTTTTTTTGGGACAGTTTCATTTTAATTGATCTACTATTAAATATAAATAAATAAATCAGTGGCGCTACAATCTTATTAGGTCTTGGCCTCAAAAATCTGTTTTATGATAATTTTTTAAATCTAATAGGCAAGTAGGTCATCAGCCTTCTGTACCTGACACACGCTGTCCACTTTTTGGGTTTAAGACATGCCGGTTTCCTCACGATGTTTTCCTTCACGACAGCCGGGGATCGAACCATGACCTCAGGAATGAGAGTCGCACGCTGAAGCCACTAGACCAAAACAGTTATGACGCTGCTTTGTAAGTGTAATATGGTATGAGCTAATGTGGCACGGAGTAGTGTCATCATTTTGTGTCTGACACATCGTTGTTTGGGTCGATATGTTTTCGTATGTCATCGCCGTACGAGCAAGTGTTAATAAAATATACAGTGGTAAATCCCTAGGATTCGAGTTCTCGGCAATATCTGGAATATTTAGATGTACACATCTAAACTTAGATACTGCAATGCAGTGGGAATGCAATGTTTTAGTACAATTCCGATTCGAACAATTATGACCAAACATTAAATTTCCTTGAATTGTTATGGTTTAACTTAGAACTAATTATTTAATTAAAGACTTATTTAAAATCGATGATTTAAAAAAAAAGTTTTATAATCATCGATGTTTCAAAAACCATACATAAGTTATTTTTGAAGTTAAGTTAAGTTAGTTTTGGCGCTTTAGGGAAAATATGAGAGTAAATTTTTACGATGCGCGAGCACGTCACAAAAAACCGACACCCTGAAGTTAGCTATAGTCAAAATTATAGTTTTTTATATTGTTAGTGTAGTTTTTTCTACAAACGTAGAATTAAATTTTTGTAAATAATTTTATCTTGTTACGCCAAAGAAGTATAACTTCTAACGCGTGTACGTAAGTACACACACGTTTTTTTTAAATCGTGTTGACGTCATTAAAGTTTAGTAGAACCGTGTGCTACTTGTTTTATACACACACGGTATACACAGAAGGTATTTATGTTTTCAAGGTATGTAAGCTTATTGAATACACAATTAACTTAAAAAATTTACCGTAAACACTGGATCGGACCGGTTTTCATGTGATCGCTGAATTTCCTTGAGCTCCTTCATAAGTCGGCGTGTGCGCACCGCTGCTGCTCTTTCTCTTACATCAGTTGCAGCTCCAGCTTTTTTCCTCGATAGTGAATTGCCTGTTGGACTGGCTGGTAAACTTGCAGTTGTTTCGGCCGGTGTTACTCCGTCTCTGTAATTTACAAAACACAAAATATTAGGTCCTTACATATGAAATTGGCGTTTTTCGTACTGGCCACTTTAATCACGATGTTCTCCTCTTTGGTAAGGAATTCCAAATTCAAATTTGTACAGCTATTTACTCATGTATTTGTGCTTCGATGACCGTCATTCATTTGTTTTTTCTTCTGTTTTTTTTTGTTTGCGTCACTCATTTTACAAAATGGAAAACTTAAAGTATCGCATTATTTACGAGTAGGTACGAGTTCCGCCGTGGCACTAGTGCTGCGGAAACGACTCGAAGGGTGAATGATGTGTATGGCGGTCATGTTGCAAAAGAAAACACAGTTCGTTTTTGGTTCCAACGTTTTCGTTCTGGAAATTTCGACCTGTAGAACAAGCCCAGTGGACGGCCTGAGACCCAAGTTCATAATGAAGTATTGAAGGCTATTGTGGAAGCGGATCCATCGCAAACCACGTCCGAGTTAGCTGCAGGCTGCGGTGTTAGTGATAAAACTGTTTTAATTCACTTGAAGCAAATTGGGAAGCTTAAAAAGCTTGAAAAATGGGTACCTCACGAATTGACTGAAGCAAACCGGCAAACGCGCGTCGACTGCTGCGTTACATTACTGAACCGGCACAATAATGAAGGTATTTTAAACCGAATCATTACCTGTGATGAAAAATGGATTCTTTACGATAATCGGAAACGCTCAGCGCAATGGTTGGATCCTGGCCAGCCAGCTAAATCCTGCCCCAAGCAAAAATTAACCTCAAAAAAGTTACTTGTAAGCGTTTGGTGGACTAGTGCCGGTATTGTTCATTGCAGTTTTCTCAAATCTGGCCAGACTATTACGGCTGATGTCTATTGTCAGCAATTGCAAACCATGATGGAAAAGCTAGCGGCTAAACAACCTAGGCTGGTCAATCGCTTCACGCCACTGCTACTTCACGACAACGCTAGACCACACACGTTGCACAACAGACGGCTACCAAATTAGAAGAGCTTCAATTGGAATGTCTAAGACATCCTCCGTACTCCCCGGACCTTGCTCCAACAGATTACGATTTTTTTCGAAATTTGGACAACTTCTTGCAAGGAAAAAATTTAACTCTGATGGGGCAGTCCTAATCGCCTTTACAGATTTTATTGATTCCCGTCCGACTGGTTTTTTTAGTAAAGGGATCAATGAACTACCTATGAGATGGCAAAAGTGCATAGAAAACAATGGTTCATACTTTGATTAATTAAATATATTATATTTAAAAATATTCGACTTTTTGTTCCTCCCATACAAAACGCCAATTTCATATGTAAGGACCTAATATTATAGGAAGACTAGGTAGGTTAAATCAGCTATTTTTTCTTCACAGAGTGATTTTTTAGGTCTAACTCAGAGACGTCCATGAAATTATCTCAAATGATACGGCAATAAGACCATCTGTAAAAGAAGATTCAATGTACTTGTCAAAAAAACGACTACTATAATCAAAGTAATAACATCTACAATGGAAATTTTCGGTTTTCATCAAAAGAGTTTGCAACGTGCCTAATCATGGGTTCAATTGATTTCAGTTATTTTTATTTAAAATTTGCTGGCAGTTTCTACGTTAAATTCATTGCCATTTATTTTTGTTACGCTTATCTTAGAAAATGCAAGACTCCAAGGTTAATCGAATTTTATGTAGGGACCCTGGAGAAGTACAAGGGCCCTTTGCTGTATTAGCCAACGAAGTCACGGCTAGCAGCTATTATTTCATAACTGTTTTGCAAACAGCAATCGCTAATTGAATGGAAATGTTTCATAATACGTAGAGCAAATTGTTTAAAGATTTGATACTTAGTACAATTACTAAATAGTATAATAATTTAATATTTCTAATTGTACCTCGAAATCGCCTACTAAACCATTCATATTATTAATTGGATTATAAATTAATATAATATATTCTATTACAATTATCATTTTTTCTTATTAAAAAATTGCACCAACGACGAAAATTCATTTGTTTACAAAATTCATGTATTTCATGCTCCCCAAATTTTCGTGTAAGTTACACTACGAAAACGTTTAGGACTATAGAGATAATTTTTTTAAATCGTACTCTCTAGACAGTACCAAAACTTATCTTTATTAAAAAAAAATCTTTCGATCCACATTACGTTGCCTTAGCAAAATGTATTTCCTTTTAAAAACTATTGCTTGTAATCATCATGATGGAATGTTGTTTCTTAACATTCACGTACGCATACGTACGTAATACGTATCGTTTACCTTGATATATCGATAATCGGACTGATGTACGTATTTTGTATTCCACAATACACAGTTCTGTACGGCTGATGTTTACTGTGTAATTAAATAGAAAAATCCTATATTTTAATGTTATTTTCTAATTAAAACAGCATAAGAATAGTCATTCACATTTAATGCTTTAAAAACTTGAACAAAAATTCAATTTATAACAGTTTTTATTAATTACATCCTAAAAACGTAATTCAATTGCAGCATATAATAAAACACTAAGAACAATACCCCGTTCATCTAAATTACTGCGTTGTTGACTTAGCCTCCTCAGGAAGGGTAGGGTCGCATTAAACACTGCCATTAATTTTTCTTATAACAATCCCAACCCGGGATTTGAATCCAGGCCTTGGCTTGGACTACTACGCTAATAACGTGAAGTATGAGATTTGTTGATTTGTTGCCTATGTTGTGGCAAAAAATTTATCTCAATGTTCGTAGGTAAATATTTTTGATGGCACTAATTAAACTAATATAAGTCAGTGTTATTGAACTTCTTCTGTTATATGTGGAACAAATAAAACACAAGAAAGTGTAAGCCCAAGAGCTTCTAAATCTGATCGACCTTTAAGTACGGACGTTATACAATATGTTGTTATTTAGATGTTTTAAGTATTTCATTGGAAGATTGCTTGGCTATATGATATGATTGCAATCCCTGATTCCAGTCACCACTCGACCTAAATTGTTGACACTTCAGAATGGGGACACGCGCTCAATGCTGAACTTCAACGTGTTGACAGTACTTGATATTTTTAAACTAAACATTAAATTATTATAATTTGACGAAAAGCACATCCAAATGGGACGGTAACGTGTCTGCTATTCTCAGATATATATCTGTAGATATGTAGCTCAATTGTTATCTTAACAATAAAACATAAATAAATCAGTGGCGCTCCGATCTTTTTAGGTCTGCGCCTCAGATTTCTGTATCTGTTTCGTGATCATTTGTCAATCTAATAGACAAGTAGGTGATCAGCCTCCTGTTTTTGACACACGCCGTCGACTTTTTGGGTCTAAGGCAAGCCGGATTCCTCACGGTGTTGTCCTTCACCGTTCGAACGAATGTTAAATGCGCACATAGAAAGAAAGTCCATTGGTGCACAGTCGGAGATCGAATCTACGACCTCAGGGATGAGCGCTGAAGCCAGTAGCCGATCACTGCTGTCATCCCAACATTCCTGTTAGATTTACATCGGTTAGTTTTAGGGGAAAACAGTAAAAGTAAATACAAGGAAAAAAATAGTTCGACACGAAAATAGGTCAAGAACGTAATTAATTCTTACGATCTTTAACGGTTACCTTTAAATGACCTTAAGATTCCAAGTCAATTAATGAAAACGGCCTACGGTTATTTAAAATAGATCTTAAGTGTCTAAATATATTATTCTTACGAAAAATAATAATTGTTTATTTGTACTAGATAAACTCTTTATTTTACTAGTTTGAAGCCATTAGACTTGTCTATATGTCTATTGGTTCAGTGACTTCGATTCCAGTGAAACAATACTCGCCAAAACTTCTAGAGTTAAGGTGGCGTCGCACCAGTCCCTTTTTTTTTTTTTTTTTTTTATTGTTGGGAAATCAATTTACTGACCCCCGCGCCGGGGCAACGATTTAAAAGTGGCGCAGGGAGTGTGGGAGTCAGTCCGTATGGTGCAATGGACACCTACCCACTAAAACCCAACAGCCCCATCTGTTCGCTATGGACGGTAGGCGCGGTAACAGTTTCCCTTAATCCGCGCCTCCGTCATGAGCGTCTGCTGTGTGAGCACATATTCTGCGTTGCCCAATCCTGTCCTAAGGTCCCAGTGGAGTACGTGCGTAATCGCGACGTCTCCTTCCAGGCCTTTTTTGCGTTGAGGGTCGGCGTCTGGGTTACACTCCCGAACCCTCTCCGCATTCTCTTTAAGTGTAATGACGGCTTCACAGAACGCTTTGAAAGTGTTCCATGGGCCGTCACTGTCAGCCTCCATCATAGCTTTAACTATGACTGGAAGCGACAGGTCCAATCCGAAGGTGGCGGTTAATAGGCTACGTTCAGAGCTCCACGCCGGACAAACCTCTAAAGTGTGTTGCGCTGTGTCGTCTGCGAAACCACACTCGTGACAAATGGGGATGCCTCCCTCCTGGCAACCCTGTGAAGGTATCCACCGAAACATCCATGGCCTGTGAGGACCTGAACGAGTCGGTACGAGAGTGCCCCCCCATCTTCTATTTACCCACAAGTTGAGCACTGGACGTATAGATGTAATTGTCCAGACTCCTGCCCTGTGATCTTGTAACTCATCCATCCATTTCTGAAGGACGGTCACTTGGGCTTCCCGTCTCCAGCTGTTTATGTGCTCAGGAAGGGGGTCGAAACCCCTACTTCTACTATCTGCCCTATGCCAATAGATCTTGGCTAGGGCAGCCGCTTCGAGGTGCCAGGGGGCAGTTCCTGCAATAACACACGCTGCCTCGCAAGAGACGGTGCGGTACGCCCTTGCCACCCTTATGGCCATCGCCCGTTGCGACTGTCTTAGAATCGCCCTGTTTTGAGCGAATAGACAATCGGCCCAAATGGGGCATCCGTAGAGGACCTTCGCCCGGACCACACCTGCAAATAACCGGCGACACCCCGCACTCGGCCCACCAAGATTTGGCATTAACCGGCAGAGTGCCATAGCCGTGGTAGCGAGCTTCGGGGCAAGTGCCGAGAAGT